TACCTTTATGTATAAAACCTTTAAATTAATTATAAATGAACTTAGCTTAGTTTATCTTATAACTTTGAATATTTTGGTATTTTCCAATATATATGATATTCTTTTATAAAATTGATTTTTTTGAATACAGGTTCTCTTTTGAAGAAATATTTTATATCATAAGTGTTTTTACTTCCGCTGCAATTCTTTATTATAAATCTTATTTTCGAACTCTTCTAGGACTAAGAGTGCCTAGGGAGGTGTGTTATACTTCTATCATTATATTGCAAATTGAAGCAACATGGAAGCTCCATTTAAAGTGGCCTTTTTCTTCTCCATCATCCTACTTGCATTTTTTTTTTTTTTTATGTTGGTTATAGATCGAGAGGCAACCTTTTCTTATCTATTTTTCTCATTCTTTATCTCATTTCACTCACATTTTATACGATTTAAATTCAGAATCTCTTACTTTTAGTGAAAGAAGATTACCATTGAACCAGACTTGGCAAACATGTCGGATTGGGTGGGTTCGGACTGAGTTATTTTGGATTTCAGATTTTTTGGATTGAATCATTTCGAGTGTCGAATTAAAAGGATAAGCACATGACCCACTAATATGAGTCTCAGATTTGATCAGGTGGACTTAACTTTTAAAAAATTAAAATAAATAATATAAATAATGTTATGATGAGGTTTTGTTAGCAAGGCTTGTTTTTCCTAAATGTGTTGACGGTCGACGCCAGGGTAGTTACAGGGCCGATATTGTCACCACCACACTTACCGTCATCTAAGCAAAAGTCACCTCCAAAGTGCACCAGTCAAGGTGATTGTGAGCGTCAATGCTCGGGAAGACGCATCTTTTGTGATCATGGTTTTTGCTTATGTATTCCTGGAAATCCAAATTGCTGTTGACAAGCCATTTTGGGTTTCTACATACCCAATTCACAATAAAACGTTGGATTTTTTTTATTATGTTTTTTTTTTTTTTTTTCAATCTATCATTGCTTTTCAACCCCACAGTCAATGGACGATTGATTTTTAAATTTTAATTAAACTTAAAATTTTATTAATAAAGAGAATAAGTAGTAGTCTAACCCGTTATATTTTAATCTAAATGGTATAGCTAAGAGATCAGTGACAAAATGATCACTGTCATTTGTCAGTAGCATAAAGTTGCAAGCTAATACACCAATCACTAAAATTGAAAACTGCTCATCTAAATTTTCATTTGATCCAACAGAGATTTCGGATGCACTGGGCCCCCCCAATTTTTCTTTTTTTTTTTTTAAACCATGTTGCCATTTCTCAAGACCAACCATTCCTGGAGGAGCTGCTTCCAAAGGCCAAAGGGAATTTATCTTTTAGTTAATATTTTCAAAAATTAACCGATTAAGAGTTTTGATAAAAGGAAAAATAGTCATTGCATGCTCTCATCACCACATGTTTTTTTTCCCTTTGATTTCAATGTACTTCAATTGGATATTTCCTCTCTTCATCTTATTCTTCTTTCTCTTCCAATTATCCCCAATGTCATTAAACAAGCACAGTTGACAGTTCATCTTTATTTTTTTGAAAGGCAAGACAGTTCATCTTTATTAGTGCAGAATCTGACACAGTTATCACCAATAATAAATAAGGAAATCTTGTTTTACAAATCAGACTGCACTGGATTGTAAAATAAGACTGTACTGTATTGTAAAACAAGAATCATTAGATAGGAAGAAGGCTTTTGACCTTATCAAATGCTTAATGTAGTGCAGTCCAATATAGTCCACACTGCACTACACTTGTTCACATAAATAATATCATAGAGATATTTTTACAATGAGAAACAAAACTGAAAGATTGTTGTCAAACTAGAATCTTCATAATGTGAGGATAATAACACTAGTTAAAGGACATTCAAAGTAATCCAATAAGCAGAAACTAAACTTCAAAACTAAGGAGACGCATCAGGTGTTAAGACACTATTCCAGAAACAAGCGAAGCAGTCAAGCAAATAGGTACAGAAGAAAAAAGGTCCAGCAGATCATCATACGCAACAAATCTTGAAACCTCTTGTGAAAAGTATGATACCCAAACTAATTGTTGACAAACCACCCTCACAATACTACACAACAGTGCATTAGTATCTCCTCCTAGGACTCCTAGAACGATGTGTCCGTCCAGATCTGCAAAATTTGGAAGGTCTTCTTAGTTCCAAGAACCTCAGGCAATTTGCCCAAACAGTTGCACAATAAAGAGAAACAACATATAGTCTAACAAGATCTAGCTCAATGTTAACTTTCAAGGATTTAATCTAATCCAGGAAGGATGCAAAGCAAAGTAACAGATTACTGGACTCTGCTCCAATGCCAGAGTGTACTGCAAAATAAGAAGTCCTACAATAACCCCAATTGCATAAATATAATTTCAGATGAAAGTGGATGGTAGCCTCCAGGTCCATGGCATTTCCATTATCATAGATTTCTTTTGGTTAATGGCAGAGTGAATTCCCTTAACACAATTTCAAGAAAATATTTCCTTCACATGCCATAGAACATATAATAGGTATACATTAACTCATAAAAAGAATAAAAGGCTATTCTAGAGACAGACCTTGCATTCTTCCTTTTGAAGCCTCCAATTGGTCCATTGCTAAAAGCCCAATCAACATTGATAGTCTGTGTAAGAAGTTCAGATCCATCCATTGCAGATATGGCATTCTTTGCCTCTTCAAATTTTTCGTATTCAATCAATGCATACCCCTTTAAAAGAAAGAATTCATATCAATATTATGGAAAAGCAGATATCTACAATTCCTTCTCAACAAACAACTAAAATAAGAAAAAGAAATTGTGAAGCATTAGTAGTTCGTTGTCATGTTATCATTAAGGAATCCACTAAAATATAGTAATTAAGCATATCCAACAAAACACACAATTAAGACAATGACCAACTAGTTAATTTTTCCAACTTTCAAAGTTTCAACAACTGGGGAACCTCATTACCAGCACTAGCAGCACCTCTTGAGTTTTCATCACACAGACTCTAAATGTGAACTTTTATCAATACACATAACCTGAACAGATAACAACATAAACTAAACAAAGACCAAGTTCATGTTATCCATAAAGTATAATTTACTCATGCATATCATACATGATGTGATTATTTGAACCACATAATAGAGAAAGATAGAGAAAATAAATCTGCAGAAAGTGGACTACTTTTTCCTACCTTAACAAATCCAGTACGGCGATCCAGGTTCAAATGCAAATTCTTGATCTCTCCAAACTCGCCAAACGCATTGTGCAAATCATCCTCTTGTGCTTCCTCATGTACACCAGTGGCCAGAATGATCCATCCTTCAATAGCTGAAAAAATATTTCTACAAATGCTTAGGAAAGATATTGTCTAAGTACTCATTTACAGCCATGGTGTCACCCAAGGATTTACAAGTTATCCTAATTTGACATAGTTAAAAGAGAAATGGTTCAAACTTCCAACCTACAAGCTACATTCTGATATAAGAACATGATTTTTCAGAGCAAAGAAAAAGAGAAGTCTATCTAAACAAAAATTTAGGATTTTGCAGTCTCCCATATGAGAAAATTTTATACAAAACCTGTTATGCAGATTCTGCTTTGAGTTAACATCAATCTCAAAAGATAAACTTCTCCAAAAATTCACAGAAAAAACATCCCTAAATTTCAAAAATTTCCTAATATCCACTTCCTCTTAAGCACAAATTTGTAACTTTTAAATTCCCTAGAAACCCTAGACATAATTTAAAAAAGGAAAAAAAAAAAGCCTACAAATGGGAATTTATGAACATAAAGCGATAAGAAAAAGGAGAAGAAAATTGTTTTCTTTTATTTATTTATTGATTATTATTATTATTATTATTATTATTATTATTATTGGGGGGCGCTTACATCGCTGGGGTCCGGGGCCACCATCTGAACCAAGTGACTCGAAATCACGGGAGGCAAGGCGGCTCTGGCGGTCAGCGTCATCCTCACGGAATCCACGACCTTTGGTCTTCTTGGGACCGGAAGCACCACCTGTGATGGCGGATTTGAGCTTGGGCGGCGGGGCGTGAGGAGATGCGTCACCTCCAGCATCCTCGTCCATGAGGTCATCCTCCTCGGGCTCGAAGTCAACCGCCTCCGCATCTGCGCTCGCCATCTGGTGATCTCAACGCCAACTCCCTTTCCGACCTCCTCCGAAATTTCTCGTCTATCTGAGAACCTGCAAGAGCTTCGGGGGACTGCTTCTGTGCATTCGAAACGTTTTTAAGCCTAGAGGCTTTGTATGGGTTTTAGAAAGGGAAACGCCGAAAGAGGATTTTTGGATTTGGGCTTTAGATTAGTGTTTGGGCCTCCTCTGGCCACTTCCAATTCCAGGCTACATTGGACTTAAATGTTAAATGTCAATTTTGGTACTTAATTTTAGGGTTTTATATAATTTTAATTTTTTAATGTTTTGTTTTTGTTTCTTAATTATAAAAAAATATATTTTTTTAATAACTTCATCTGTTAATTGGTTAAATTATCTAAATTTACATATTTTTAATCTCTTAACTTTTAAATATGCACATTTTTTATTTCCTAACTTAAAATTGAGAGATTATAAAGTATATATTTAAATAAATTTAACAGATTAATTAATGAATGAAACAAAAAAAAATATTTTTTATAGTTCAGAGACTAAACAATTACATAAAAAAATTAAAAAATAAAAATTATATAAAATTTTGAAATTGAAAAATCAAAATTAACATTTAACTTATCATAATTTCCCCAATTGTTCGGGAGGCCATCCATCACACCGACTCACCTGCAAATCAAATAATCTAAGTTGATTTGTCTACACGAAAATCTTATTTTATAGTCTATACAAAGGGTTTTTTTTTATTTAAACAAGGACAATTATGGGGTAGGAAAAGGGATTGAAATTAGTTCATAGAGTTGGAGACACACAGGGTTAACTAATCTATCTATAAAACTAGTTGTATTACAGTTTATATTTTTTTAACTTATAAAACAAAAATTATTTATATACATAAAAATCTTATTTTATAATTTGTATTCATTTAAATTATAACAAAGAACCACATAATTGAAAAAATCTCAATATCAAGTTGTTCAATCTTTATTTGAGAGTTAGTCTCTCACAGTCCGGATCAGTCCGGACTGTAAAACACAATTTTTGCGTGTATATATATACACCCCGTTCGAAAGCAGATTCAGAATATTGGGGGAAGAGAACAGAGAAGAACGGATGAAAACACCCCTTTTGAGGGAAGAAGCGGAGGAATATTGAGGAAGAGGAAGAAGAAGAAGAAGAAGAAAAAGAAGAAGAAGAGATCAATCAAGAAACCAATGGATTCACGCAGAGCACAGAAAGTTGCTGTTGGGAACCAATTCGATCGCCTACCCGACGATGTTCTTCTCTTGATCATCAACAAAATTATCGACTGCAGAACCCTAATTCAATTGTCTTTAGCCTCCAAGCGTTTCAATTCTCTTGTTCCTTACACAGATACAGTCGAAGTATGCCTGAGTTCCTCAACGCTTACCAAAATCATGGACTCCGGAGCTCTCAGTCTCACCTGTAACGTTTCTACTACGCTCAAGAAATTTGGTGCACTTAAGGATCTCCGCATCAAGATTCAATCGAAAACTGATCAGGAAGATGGATTTTCCTTGAAGCTGGTTGTTCTTTACGACAACAAGCTCGATATGTGTTTCGTCTTCGTGTTCAGGAGCGAAGCAGAGGAAACAGATTGGCAAAGGTGGATTGAAAATGCGGAAGGCCGTGTGCTGTTTGCTTA